GAAACAAAAACACCATTACGGGTTAGGGCTTAGGGTTTGGGGCTTAAGGTTTTAGGTTGAGGGCTTAAAACCCTAAAGGCCTGAAACCCTAGGGTTTAGGGTTTTGGGCTTGAGGTTTAGGGTTGAGGGTTTAAAACCTTAAAGGCCTGAAACCCTAACCCTAAACCCTAAACCCTAAACCCTAAACCCTGAACCCTAAACCCTAAACCCTAAACCCTAAACCCTAAACCCTAAACCCTAAACCCTAAACCCTGAACCCCAAATCGCCGCGCCAGTGGCCAGGTCGATGCTTTCGCAAAGAACACGCAGCTCCTCGTCCAATCGCTCGGTGTACGAGGCGTGCGAGTCCCTGCAAGGGCTTTAGGGTTTAGGGTTTAGGGTCAAATCTAGGGGTGTTAGGGTCTAAGGTTTAGGGTTTAGGGCTTACGGTTTCCGTAGAAGGTGCTAACCCTGAACCCTAGAAACCCCAAAACCCCAGAAACTCCAGAAACCCTGGAAAGCCTAGAAACCCTACAAACCGTATAAACCCTATAAACCCTATAAACCCCATAAACCCTATAAACCCTACAAACAAACGATCCCCTAGCCTGGGCTCCTGGATCCCAAGCCCAATAAGCCCGGAGCCAAAAACCAGACTTAACTCTGCCGGGCCTGCTTGGCGCGCGGCAGTATGAGGCTGTCTCCTCGCACAACGGCATGCTGGTGCCCCCTAGAAGATCTGAAGGTATCATAAGAGCCTGAACCCGGAAACCAATCACTATAAGCCTGCCTGAATCTTCTGTGAATGTGTCTAGGCCTCTTGCGCAATGTTTCGCTGGCCACATCTGTACTGCACTATAGACATCTACAGACCCTTTGTATGAAGAAAAGGGGGTGCACAAAAGAGTATCCTAAACTCCAAACCATATAACCCTAAACCCTAAACCCTAAACCCTAAACCCTAAACCCTTGCAGGTCCGTGCTTGCAGTGCTCGCCGTGGAGTCCATGCGATGAGGCATGCGTCTCAGCTTCCTTAGGGGCGATGCGGGGGGGCATCGCACAGGTGTTACGGCGTTATAGGGGTGGGGGGTTCAGGGTTCAGCCCTAAACCCTAAACCCTAAACCCTAAACCCTAAACCATAGAAGTTTAATCAGGAACCGGGTCTTACGTTTTAGCCTCGCAGTCGCCACGATCAGCTCTATCAAGGTTCCTCATTCCGGCGGCGCATCAAACCCCGTGGGGGCACTTTCCCCAAACGCTAACCCCTTCACCCTACATCCTCACCCTAACCCACGAAACCCCGACTCTTTCGAGTTCAGGCCACTTAGTGCTTGTGATGGGGTTCCAATGTCTTCAAAACACAAAGAGCACATCCCTCGGACTGTCATATGAGGCCTACCACAAAGAGCCCTTTCCACCGCTTAAAGAGCTCTCTCGGGGACATACCCTAGACCCAGGAATAACTTGGGAAAAAAAGAACCCTTGTTGGTCTAATTTAAGGGGATTATAAGGGAACCCCAACCCTCAAAAAAGGAAATAAGGGCCAGCTCCGGGTCCGAGCAGCCCTAAACCCTAAACCCTAAACCCTAAACCCTAAACCCTAGACCCTAGACCCTAGACCCTAAACCCTAAACCCTACCTCAGCCCTCGGCGACACCCCGCTCGGCGACATTCCGCTTAAGGATGTCCAGGAAGGCACCTTGTGCACCTGGGCGCCAGCAGATGGCTTGGTTTAGGGTTTAGGGTTTAGGGTTTAGGGTTTAGGGCTTAGGGTTTAGGGTTTAGGGTTTCGGGTTTAGGGTTTAGGGTTTAGGGTTTTGGGTCTAGGGTCTAGGGTCTAGGGTTTAGGGTTTAGGGTTTAGGGTTTCGGGTTTCGGGTTTAGGGTTGGCACCCATTCCCAGACCCCCTGGGTTCAGGTTTCCGAAAAGTAGAACCCCAACCAGTACCCTATCCACAGTTCTATTGATTGAATCGTTAAGGCGATCTACCTTTTGGAACCTGGGTCTGGCTTTTCCGCAAAGTCAAGTCCATTCGCCACGATCTTCCTAAAAACCGGATGTGGACATGACATACCCTAGGATGCAGTATTCCTGAACATGATCCTCTTAAACCAAATAAGGGCAAATATACAATGTCCCTAGGGCCTACCTAGTACCTGCACCAATCTGTGCTCGTGGGTTTTCGTCGCGCGCCCAGAAGGTTCGTTCGCGGGACCCAGCGTGCTCACTAAGCGTCTATCGTGCAGTCAAGATACGTCGCCCTGCCTCCGACCAACCAGCAACTCAGCTTCAGCTTTGCAAAATCAAGCGGTTGTTGCACAAGAAACATCATAAGAACACTTCACCGCACAAGGCAAAACAAAGCCTGCACGATGCGCTAAACCCTAAAACCTAAACCCCTAACCCCAAACCCGAAACCCGAGACCCGAAACCCTAAACCCTAAACCCGTGTCTTGCAGGCGGGCAGCCGTCGGAGTTCCGGTTGGAACACACACAGAATGAGGGCTGTAGAGAGGCACCTGATGAGGGTTTAGGGTTTATAGGGTTTAGGGTTTAGGGTGCTTCCGAAACACGTTCTGCCACAAACGACGTCTTTTTGCAAGAGCTGACGTGCGAGGGTTTCCCTTAAGATACTTGTCAGCATGGGTTCCTAAACCCTAAACCCTAAACGCCCTAAACCCTTCAAAGCTACCACATCGCCAAGGTGCGGAAACATGTCCACCTGAGCGGGAGGTGTACAACGCCTTGGCTCAAGGTCGGAGTTGAACGCTGCCAAACCCTCCTTGCGGAAAAGGCCTTTAGGGTTTTAACATTGGGTTTAGGGTTTAGGGTAGGTTTAGGGTTGACACCCTAAACCCTAAACCCGAAATTGCTCACAAGTTGTGGCAAGCTGCGGGGCTCAAGGATCGAGGCGATGATCGCGACGACACGGCATTTTGCGATCTAGCCTCATGGTTTGATGCTTAGCGCTTAAATCCCGTTAGGGTCCCGTGTGCACAGGTTGAAGCCTCAAAACTCTAAACCCCGAAAAGGGTTAGAGCGGTGCGGAAATGCTGAATCATACCCGCTCCGTGAGTTCCAACAGCATGCGTGTTCACGGTCACCAGTCGCCGTAAGCCCCTGGCGTGTGGGATCTGCAACGGTGGTGCGATTCTCGTCGGGAAAGCGATCGCCATGATGGAGTCACTCTAGGGCTTCTGCAGCTTATAAAACGATAATGTCCAACATGTTGGTCAAAATCCCTTGATTGCTTTCAGAGCCCACAGCAAGCTTGTCGGACACAATTTTGGAGCCCCCCCCCCCCCCCCCCCCCCCCCCCCCCCCCCTTCCACCCCTCCTGCCTGGCCCGCAGAACGAGAAAAAGCAAACACAACTGGACACTATGTCACCAAACGATAAGGGGCGGAATGTTGACTACGAAGTGTTCCTTTATGATCCCTATATAAGTACTAGAACAAGCTCCCCAAAACCCACCTCTAATTATTCAGGCCCTGTGACACACCCTTAGCCCAAAAAAAGCGCGAGCCTTCCCGTGAATCGGCCGCACTTCGCATCGCACTTGGATCTAAAATTTCCAAGTCTGTTCTGCTGCCTCTTGCAGCAAAGGACGATGAGGTGAAGAGTTTAGGGTTTAGGGTTCAGGGTTTAGGGTGAGGCCTCAACAGGCTCCTGGACAATCTTCAAAGTGCCCCGGGACTCTTGGTTCGATTTGTGTGTATGGCCAAGGCAGTGAAGATTCTCCGGGCAACAAATTTGCATAAGCTGTGGGCCGAATCTAAAATACGTCCCACGAAGGACAGGGGAAGGCTCTGTGCGGAGTTCTGTGACGCCTGAAGTTGAAGCAAACCCAGTCTTCGCCAGTTCAGCTGGCTTCCCACCATCCCCCTGCAGGCTTGAAACGGACTGCACACTGCCGCTCTGCCATCACAGCTTGCTTGCTGGAGCGGTGTTTCTGAGAAGCATCCTCGGGAGGGTCAGTCTCTCTCACAACTAGAATCTACAGCAACTGGAACAGACTGCTTTGTGATGAGGTCCACTTGAAAGTTTGCAGAACCCCAGCCTGACTGTTAAGGGCGGACGCTAAGCAACACGCAGAGCAAGCTGAGAGCCCCAAGCGCCAGAACCGTAAACCCTAAACCCTAAACCCTATACCCTATAAACCCTAAACCCTAAACCCTAAACCCTAAACCCCGAGGCCATGAACCCAAAACCTTTAGAGTTTATCGCTGTTTACGGTTTTGATTGCAGGGGGTCACGGCCTGAAATGGTGGGTTCTCTACATTAGGGTCCCTGTTTTGGGAACCCTAAATGAGAGGGGCCGCGTTATCATACGAAATCAAAACGGGACCAGAATCACCTCCCCGTCTCCCCTCTCCCCCTCTCCCCAAACCCTAAACCCCAAACCTAAATCCCCCCACCCCCAACCCCAAACCAAACCCGACCCCAAAAACCCCCCCACTCCCCCCCCCTCCCCCCCCCCCCCCCCCCCCCCCCCCCCCCCCCCCCCCCCCCCCCCCCCCCCCCCCCCCCCCCCCCCCCCCGTCCCCCCTGCAGCTTTCCAAGCTCCCAACGCCGAGCAGGTCTTGTCGTCACCGCCCATATTGACACAGAGACCCAGGTTGGGCTGAGACTTCATCCTCGGGCAGGGAAGAGTTTGTTTCTGAGAATGGGGTTTAAGGGTTTTTGGGGAGCTCCTGACGGGGGTGTATAGCCAGGAAGGCTCATCCAGCTCTAACATCCCTAAACCCTAAACCCTAAACCCTAAACCCTAAACCCTAAACCCTAAACCCTAAACCCTAAACCCTAAACCCTAACCCTTCTCCAGAACTATGGCAGAACCGCGCGTCAGAAGTGTGACTTTCATGTGAGCTGAGCCGACACACCGATGCCTACTAGTGGTGTCTGTTGACATGCCGCGATGCTTTGCACGGGGATTTCCCAGATTAGGGTGCCTACTTTGGGCTTCCTATGAAAATTAGTATGTATTCTACTTTGCTTGGGGTAAATAAGGGGATCTGCCTATTTTGGAAATGCCCACATGGTTGCTGTTGCCCACTCCTTCCTGCAGTCTAGAGTGAAGCTTCGCCCAAGGACATTGCAAGATGGGGCATTGTGCAAGGTCTACTTCATCCCCCCCCCCCCCCAAACCCTAAACCTAAACCCCAACCCTAAACCCTAGACCCTAGACCCTAGACCCTAGACCCTAAACCCTAAACCCTAAACCCTAAACCCTAAACCCTAAACCCCACCCCTCTTCTGACAAGCCATCCTCAAGCCCCCATCAGACTGCAGCTCTGCGACTGGTAGTCGCCGCACAGGCCCTTCATCTGTCGGTAGATTTCGAGGACCTGCCTGATACAAGCTGTGGCTGATTGTACAGGGTTTAGGGTTTAGGGTTTAGGGTAAGGCTTCCCTGCAATAAAAAGAACTTCAGGGTCCGCCAGACAAGGGTGATGTGGCATTAAGCTGACTAGGCTTTGACTCCGCGCACGTCGCGGTGAGGGCTGAGAAACAACCTACCCCTAAACCCTAAACCCTAAACCCTAAACCCTGAACCCTAAACCCTAAACTAAATGCACCTCTAGAAGCTCTCGCGCGTTCGGAACTGAATGTCTGAAGGGTACCTGGAACTTGGAGCCTCGTTTAAGTCCAAACAGCCCAGGCTCTTCTCCATCTTTGCTGCAAAATCCCAAGCACCCGAAGAACCCTAAACCTTTACTACGAAACCTTAAGGCCTAGAACCCTAAACCCTAAACCCTAAACCCTAAACCCTAAACCCTACGGCCCAAACAGCTCTGCCAAGGATCTTGACACCGGTGGCACCCACCGGGTGGCCGAAGGAGATCAGACCGCCACCTGCGGCTTGGGCTCATGGGGTTGAAGCGTTTATAGGGGTTTAGGGTTTAGGGCTAGGGTTTAGGGTTTAGGGTTTAGGGTTTAGGGTTTAAGATTTAGGGTTCAGGGTTCAGGGTTTAGGGTTTAGGCTTCAGGGTTTTGAGGGCTTAGGATTTAGGGGGTTTAGCGTTTTTAGGGTTTAGGGCCTTGTAGATGTTAGGGTTTTCTAGGCTTTAGGTTTCAGGGGTTAGGGCTTTCTAGAGTTTAGGGCTTTGTAGGGTTCAGGGTTTAGGAGTCCAGGGTTTAGGGCTGAGGGCTTTCTAGAGTTTAGGGTTTTATAGGGTTCAGGGTGTACTTTTCGATTGCCCTTGCAGCAATTGTGAGCGTGGGCTGTTTCGGACACAATGCTTCCGTTTAGGGTTTTAGGGTTTTACGGAGGGTCTTAGGGTTTTAGGGTTTTTGGGTTGTAGGGTTTAGGATTTAGGATTCAGTATGGGGATATTTCGTGCCATCCAAGATTATCGCATCCGGAAACCCTCAATCCTATCACCAAGTCCGATCTCGGGCCTGTGTTCACTGGGATCTTGCCATCCAGGCACGTGGCGCCAGACTTCACTAGCTCTGTGCCTGCCGGACCGACAAATGCGGCATGAGGTCGTTCCGCATATGCAGGGGCGGTTTAGGGTTTAGGGCTTAGGGAGAAGAGGCATATCACTTCTCAGCGCCAGCCCAGCCCATCGAGTAAAGCAGTCGACCCCTGCTCAAGCTGAAACGCTGCCATCCTAAACCCTAAACCCTAAACCCTAAAGAACCCAGACTCTGCATGTCAGCTGGCTCTGAAACGTGGCAGACCTCATACGTCCACTACACCCTAAACCCTAAACCCTATAACCCTAAATCCTAACCCTAAACCCCTAAACCCTAAACCCCTAAACCCCTAAACCCCTAAACCCTGAACCCTAAACCCTAAAGCTCCCCGCACTCCACCAGGGCAGCCGCGAACAACTCCGGGCCTTTCCCAGGCTCCGCCAAGCCGATTGCCTCGTACATGAGGATCTCAGCAATGGCCTCGTCTGAGCATGCCGTCTGTTGGTTTAGGGTTTAGGGTTTAGGGTTTAGGGTTTAGGGTTTAGGGTTTAGGGTATAGGGTATAGGGTTTAGGGTACAGGGTTTAGGGTTTAGGGTGAGGGTTTAGGGTTTAGGGTTGGGATGTGCCATTTCTTTCTATGCACATGGGTGGTTGTCAAAATCACGGTCCCTTTTTGGATCCCTATTGTAATACGGCACCTAATACTTAGGCTACCCCAAAAAAAAGATCACAATTCTGACAACCACCCATACGTTCTAGAACCCTAAACCCTAAACCCTAAACCCAAAAACAAAAACATCATCCACACCCTCCCTGGCAGTGTCTGCACCCCAGCCCCCTCTGAGGCTCAACCTGCCCAAGCTTCCCAGAGAGCCCAATGCCTCGTATCATATATGGACCCTTCATATGATTTAAGGTCTATTCCTTACTTAAGGGGTATACCTTAACATCATATAGGGACCCTTAACATGATTTAAGGAATATTCCTTACTTAAGTGATATACCTTAAAATCAGATATACCTTAAAATCATATAGGGACCCTTCACATGATTTAAGGTATGTTCCTAAAAAACAAAGGATTTTGGGCTCTCTGGGCAGGCAGAAATACAGGCCTCACCCTGAACCCTAAACCCTAAACCCCAAACAAAGGGATATTGGGCTGTTCGAGGCTGCCCGAGGCTCGAAGCAGTCGTGGACTTCTGCCACGTCCACATCCGAGGGCTTCACGCCGGCGGCCGCCAGCATACGTGAGACCACCTAGGGTTTAGGCTTCAGGGTTTTGGTTTAGGGTTTAGGGTTTCGATTCTCCTTGGGTTCTTAGGGGGACCGCGGTGCTTTGTATGGGGTTTAGGGTTAATCGTATGGTCCCTTGGAGTGGGGTTGAGGATCTAAGACGGAGGAGATTCACCTTGGGACCTTCGTTGCTGAGTTCATAGGCCCCCGAAAAAGTGTACACTTTCAGTTCTGTAGGGGATCATAGTATCCCAAAAAGTGTAAAGTGTGCTCACTCAGCTACTAAGGGACTCTACTCGGAGGAGTCTGCGAGTTTTGGGATGCTGCCACTTCTTTTTAGGGGTGCGTTGTCAGGCGGACAGTTCTCTAGTTTGTTTAGCTACAAGGCTCCTTCTTCTACGATTTCTTTAAGTATTAAGAACCCCAAAAAAGAATCTTATACTACCCTTTATCTTGAAAAGAAGAAGATTTATTTGATTTCCGGCCTATGCCAAGCAACTCTCGGCTTCCTTCTGCTTACTTCTCCAATAACCAAAGGAAAAAAGGCTAAGCTTTATTATTCCTACTAAATAAGGAAACCCAAAAAGTTTAAAGTGCAACTATTGGCTGAGTAAGTATAAGGGTGGTTTGCTTGTGGTACATACTTGTGTTTAGGGTTTAGGGTTTAGGGTTTAGGGTTTAGGGGGGGGGGGGGGAGCTTGGAGCTGGGGGTGGCTCTTTAGTGATTCCGCCGCTTTTGCAAGAGACCAGGATTCTGTCGAATGCCGTTGATGATGTCCTTTTGGGTTTAGAGATCAGGGTTCAGGGTTTAGGGTTCAGGGTTGAAGGTTAGGGTCCCAACTGGCTGAGGGTCCCAAGTGATTTTGAGTAGCTCAAAAAGTTAAGCTGGAGACTAGACATTGCAGTAGCCAAAGGAGGCGCGACCCAAACTCGGGGCAATTGTTCACCCCTCATCTAAGCCCGATAGGTAGAAAGGACTTTCAATCTTTATTCGGGCTTAGTGCCTGGGGTGGGTTGAGGGTTTAGGGTCTGGGGTTTAGGGTTTAGGGTTTAGGGTTGAGGGTTTAGGAGGATTCAGGAGGCCGATTGCTGGGTGCAGAAGAGCATCAGCTTTTGTGGTGTCCATGACGGCTAAGTCAGCAGGGTCGGACCACAGATCCCCTTGATCACAGGGTTCCGAGGTTTCATAGGGTCTAGGGTTTAGGGTTTAGGGCTTAGGGTTTAGGATTTAGGGCTAGGGTTTAGGGTTTAGGGTTTAGGGTTTAGGGTTTAGGGTTTAGGGTTTAGGGTTTAGGGTTTAGGGTTTAGGGTTTAGGGTTTAGGGTTTAGGGTTTAGGGTTCCGAGGTTTCAGGGATTCTTGTTTGCCACACTTCGGGTCCAGGAGGTTTGGAAGTTTGGAGGCGCTGCAAGCCGAGGACCTGGGCTTTAGGGTTTAGGGTTTAGGGTTTAGGGTTTAGGGTTTAGGGTTTAGGGGATTTTTGTTTGAGCGCTCTTGGGATAGTCCAGGGCAAGAACGCGAAGCTGGCAGTCTTCCTGCGGTTTAGGGTTTAGGGACCGGATTCTTTGCGGCCTTCGCAGGTGCCAGGAAAAGCGCAAGTCAAGCTTCCTACGCGGTGACGCAGCACGAACCTCAGACTTCATGCTCAAAAACTAAACCCTGAACCCTGATCCTAAACCATAAAACCTAAACCCTAAACCCTAAACGGGTACCCTGAAACCTAAGCCCTGAACCTCATGTGCGCTCTTACGAAAAAGCCTGCCCGGGGGGCACCTGCTCCGTAATCTGTCGCCACAATCTCTACGGCCTGGTGCTTGCTGAGGCCGCACTTCTGCAGACCCTGGCGACAAGAGCAAGTGCTTGGAGGTTCTCATGTGTACTTAAAAAATAGGGATATACGTATCCTAAGTAGGGTTCTAAGACTAGTTACCATGTACTTGTAACCCTACTTATAAGTACCCAACATTAGGGGTACCAATTTGGGCCCCTTCTCACAAGGGAATCCTACTCTTGGCTGCACTTAGGAGGGTAGTAAAAAATTCAACTTTTAGCTGCCTTAGTAAGAAACCCACTAAAACCAAAAAAGGCTAAGGATCTAAAGTTACAGTAAAGCACCACAAAGTACTGTTTGGGGGTCTATTTTATAGGTCCCCGATTTTCGCAAACCCCCATCTTGAGAATTGCCCATGTGCAGCCTGCCATGTGGTTCGATAGTTTAGGGTGTAGGGTTTAGGGTTTAGGGTTTAGGGTTTAGGGTTGCCAGAATCAGGGAGCTGATGTCCGCCCCGACTCTATACTAGGAGGTTCAAGGGTAGTTCTAAGTCCATGGGTAGTTATAAGTAGGGTTGTAAGTATCCAAAATAGGGTTGTACGTGTAGTTGCCATACTTTTTTCCCGATCCTAACAATCCTACGTGACTTGCAAAAACCGCTTTGAACATCCAACCTTCAAACTTTTAGACCGGGCATTAGAATGACATGTTTGAACTAGTGCTCATTTAGCGCGCACGTGTCTTCAAAAATCTTGGGGCCCATCATGTTCGGCTTCGGGTTTAGGGTTTAGGGTTTAGGGTTTAGGGTTTAGGGTTTAGGGTTGAGGGTTGAGGGTTGAGGGTTGAGGGTTTAGGGTTTAGGTACTCGCACCTCCTCTGAAACGAAGATCGCAGCGGCACCTTGCCAGGGCCCACATTGTCCACATGCTGCAGCCGCTGCAAGTCCCACTGCAACAAGACTTGCACTTCACCAGATCTTCCAAAAACCTCTTAATTATGGAATATACCCCAACTCATAATAATGATATTCAGTAGTATATATTAAAAACTGGTGTATATTATATTCAGTATATATTAAAAATGGGTGTATATTCCCCTACTCAGGGGTTTTGGAAGATCCGGGTTCACGCCCAGGCACCTCCATCGGAGACTTGCGAGCAGTGCGTCGCCCGCACAAAAGGCCTCTAAGGATGGAGTAGTCGTGAGAAGTCTCGATTAAGTACCATGTGATAGTACTATCTCTTAGTGTAGTGATACATTATTACAGTTTCTCATGATATACTGCTATTATCTTACAACGACTCGCAACCGCATGGCCCAAAATGCCAAGCTTTAGGGTTTAAGGTTTCTTTTGGTGGCCCTTCTGAACCTGGAAGCTGCTTCATGCCAGGACTGAGGGCCGCGCCAGCCGCTAGTCACCAGAGACCAGCAGACCGCAAACCGAAGAAAACACTAAGAGTCCTCATGCTCGGCAGGATGGTCTTTTGGTGGCCCTAAACCCTAAACCCTAAACCCTAAACCCTAAACCCTAAACCCTTTTTTATCGCGGACCTCTGAAGCCTGTCCGGATCCCTTAACCCTAAACCCTAAACCCTAAACCCTAAACCCTAAACCCTGAACCCGGGCACAAAAAAGCAGCCCAAGCAGCTTGAGGTCTTCATTTTTGAGGAACTCGGGGCCCGCCACCGCTTTCTCCATGGGCAGCTGCACCTTTTCAAAGTGTAGGAGGCGACGTTGGTTCTTTTCTGAGGTTTAAGGGTTTTCGGTTTTAGGGGGGGTTGAGGGGGGGGGGGGGTGTAGACTGATATAAACCCTTCCATACGGCCTTCTATACCCCCTTCTATCAACCTTTATACTCCTGATAGCCCCTAGGACCCTTACGAACCCTGATAAACCCTGAGGCCTGAACCCTAAACCCTAAATTTGTAAATCCTTATGAACCCTTAAAACTCTTCTGGACCTTCAAACTCCCGTCTCAGGCCTCGGCCTCGTCTTACGGGTTCAAAATGGCAAGATGGGTTTAGGGTTAAGGGTTTAGGGTGTAGGGTTTAGGGTTTAGGGTTGAGGGCAAGTTTAGGGCTTAGGGTTCAGGGGGCCCATTCCTGAAGATATTCTTTGCAGAATACCACTGGGACCCGAAACCCTGCAAGCCCTAAACCCCCTAAGCCCCGAAACCCTCAACCCTGGAGCCCGGCTTACATGAAGGTTTATACCAGGGTGGACGGATTTATATACGGGTTTAACCCTAAACCCTAAACCCTAAACCCTAAACCCTAAACCCTAAACCCTAAACCCTAAAAAGAGTTCGCACTCTGCCAGCCAGGAGCCGTGTGCATGTGCGCCAAAGGATTCTTGTTTCCTCAGGTGCGAAAAGCAAGGGACTCAAGAAGGGACCCTTATAAGGATTTAGGGCTTTTGTTTTGGCATCCGACTCAGCGGGGTTACTAAGTGGGTCTCGGAGAACTGGATTTAGGGTTTAGGGGTTCTTTGGGGGCTACTTAGGTATATAGGGACTATGCAAGGTGCATATTTAGGGGTGATATCGGGGAATAAGATTCAGGGTCTCTTCTGGGGGTCCCTCCTCTTCCCCCTTCAGAAAAGCGACGTACATGAGGGACTAAGTCCAACTCCCCAGTCCCATGGCCTCTGAACCCAAGCATTCATGTTGGTTTAGATTTTGGGCCTCAGTTCCAAAGCATTCCGCTCAGGGTCTCTGCATTGGGGTTGAAGCTGTGGGGATTCTCAATGTGAGGCTTTTCGTGGGATATTCCTTCCCAAACGGCTCCTAGAAGAAATGCCACGGTCATCACGTGCAGATAAATGCAGATAAAGTGCAGCACAGAACCCTAAACCCTAAACCCTAAACAATAAAGCCCACAATCAAACGCCCCAAATGCAACCAGGCATCCATTGGAGTAGGCCTTCACGCCCACGGCGGCCAAGTCGGCCATCTTGACGTCCTAGGCTGCGTGCAGATTCGGCTGGCTTAGGGTTTAGGGTTTGGGGTTTAGGGTTTGGGGTTTAGGGTTTAGGGTTTGGGGTTTGGGGTTTAGGATTTACGGTTTAGGGTTAGGGTTTAGGGTTTAGGGACTTCCTTGACAGAAGGCTCGTAGTCCTACTCCACGGGATGGTCCTCTATGCATATACCTCAAGGGATTACTACAGGCCCTAAACCCTAAACCCTAAACCCCAAATGGGAATTGTAATCCCTCTTGAGGACTGGTAGTGTAAGGAGGAACATCCCAATGCACACTCAGGTCCCGACACACCTAAGTAGCCCCCATCGCCCTTAGGGGCGCTCCGTCAGCTCTTTAAGATGATCAAACCACCCCAGGTCATCACTTGAAAAGTTCCCCCTGATACTAACAGCCCATTATATACTAACAGTCCTGAATAGGAATTCTACTAGGGGTACTATAATCCCCATTAAGGGGATTATAGTACCCCTAGTAGAATTCCTATTCAGGACTGCTAGTATAAAGGGGGCACATCCCAGGTCATAACCCTCACAGCTCAAGGCAAAGAGAATTGGGGTGAGCGGCAGGATACTTCTCCAAGTAAGCCTTGGCCCTTCGGGCAAAGAGTGCAGGGAAGGTGAAGTCGTCTATACCTGGGAAAGCATCTTGCGAGACTCTGCTGCACTTAGGGCCGCGGAAGTTATATACAACGACACCCTTTCAGTAGCAGAGACCAGAGCCGAGCTATGCCGTGGATTTCGACTTCGCGGACTCCAATCTAAAACAGATGGAGACATGGACGTCCTACGAAATGAGAGCGGGTTGCAGCCGTTTCCTTCTTTGTGCGGTGAGCAGGCTTATATTGACGAAGTGGTATTTGCCGTCTTCGCAACCACTCTGACGCCCTACTGACCTCTGGAAACTCGAATCGTGAGCACCCACACGATCCTCGCAGTAGCAGCATATCCAGCCGAAGCAAGCCACAGCCCTTCGTTTGAAAACCTCGGGTGGGTGACCCTTAAACCATCTTAACCCCCACCCTCCCTAAACCCTAAACCCTAAACCCTAAACCCTAAACCCTAAACCCTAAACCCTGAACCCTGAACCCTCAACCCTCAACCCTGAACCCTGAACCCTGAACCCTGAACCCTGAACCCTGAATCCTGAACCCTTTTGCAGCAGGCTTGCAGAACGTCCTCGCCTGGATGGAGCCGTCACCCCAACATCTCGTGGAACCCTAAACCCTAAACCCTAAACCCTAAGCCCTAAACCCTGAACCCTGAACCCTAAACCCTAAACCCTAAACCCTACCCTTTATCCAAGCCCCATTTTCCGGGCCTGACTGGCGCTTGAAGTCAGCAGCCCTGGCCAGGTAGGTTCCCCCAGTCCGGGAGTCGGCCTTCGGCTTTCGAAGCTCCCTAAACCCTAAAACCCTAAAACCCTAAACCCTAAACCCTAAACCCTAAACCCTAAACCCTAAACCCAGACTCTGCATGTCAGTTGGCTCTGAGACGTGGCAGACCTCATACGAAACCTTAAACCCTAAACCCTCTCTCTCTTGCCCTCTCTCTCTTGCCTCTCTCTCTATTGCCCTCTCTGCGCTGCTGAGGGACTTTTCATGCGAAACCCTGAACCCCAAACCCCTAAGAAGCCCCAAGAAGAAGTTTGGGGCCTTCTCACATGCTGCCTGACTCGTGTCATGCCATGCACACCAAGGTGCTTGGGAAGAGTGATAACAGAGGTGCATCTCCAAACTGGCAGTTTAGGGTGTAGGGTTTCGGGTCTGTTTGACAACAAGGTATGTCGAAGCCCTCATCGCTCGTCAGATGCGTCAAAGACAGGCCTAAACCCAACCCTAAACCCGTTTTGAGAATCCCGGGGTGCCCCACAAAGAGTGCCCTGTTCTCAGATACTCCCTACCTTACTACCGTGCCCTAAATTTGTCCAAGTTTTGCCCATGTATATATCTATATACACACAGATATATATATATATATATATATATGTATGACACGTTTAATGGCCCTAAGCCCTAAACCTGATATTTATCTTACTTTCTCTCAGGCTTCACCCTTTCGCGGGGGCCTCTGTCTGAACCTCCACCCCCACGGCCAAGACGACGTCGTCCCCCGCGCAGACTGCGCCTCGGCTTGCCCACGATTAGGGGTTTAGGGGGTTTAGGGGGTTAGGGGTTTAGGGGATCAGGGGTTTAGGGGTTTAGGTTTTAGGGAACCAGGGATTTAGGATTTAGATTTTCGGGTTTAGGGATTTTGGGTGGTTTCGGGTTTAGGGTTTGCTTGGGGGTTTAGGGTTTGCTTGGAGGTTCCTGGGCACTTACAAGTAGGGTTTTAAGCGCCCTAAGAAAATTTATAGCCATAGCTACCCTACTTATAAGTACCCATGAACCTCCAAGTAAGGGTTGAAGGGTTGAGGGTTTAAAGGTTAAGGGTTCAAGGGTTGAAGGGTTAAGAGTTGAAAGGTTTAGGGCTGAAAAAAGGTTAGGGTTTAGCGACTTTCTCAGGATGGGCGAACAGCACTTGTATCCACAAGCCAAAGCACCGCCCTAGAGCAAAGCCTCAAAGCCTGTTTAAGGGATACTTACTTGCTGAATTCATAAGCCCCCGAAACGTGTAAACTTTCTGTTCTAGAGGGGATTAGAGTATCCCAAAAAGTGTAAAGTGTGCTCACTCAGCCACAAAGGATACTCAGCCACAAAGGATAAAGGACCAAGTTTCTCTTTATCATTATCTTCTTTTCTTCTCTAACCCTACGCCTAAAGGACGCAGCCAGGGTCTGGTTAGGATATATTTGGTTTAGGGTTTAGGGATTGGGGATTCGGGTTTAGGAGCCCTAAATCCCCCCAAAACCCTAAGAAGCCCAAGGCACGCACCGCTTCTGCACAGGCGAGGCCTGAAGACATTAGGGTCTAGGGTTTAGGGTTTAGGGTTTGGGTTTAGGGTTTAGGGTTTAGGGTTTAGGGTTTAGGGTTTAAGGCCGCGGTGACACTCGAGCTCAAGTTCAGGGTCTTGTGTACTTAGGGGCTTGTGGTTTCGGGTTTAGGGTTTAAGGGTCTTATCTACTTGCTGGCGCCTCGTTTCAAAGGAGTTGCATTACAGCTTTGGTAAGATCCCTTGAGGCAAGCTGAGCTCAAACCTCTCGCACCCGGATGAAACGGCCGCTCCCCCGACATCGTGCATGCGAACAGCCTCCATCTCAAAGCCCATGTGGTGACCCTAAACCCTAAACCCTAAAACCGATTTTTTTCATCCGAGCAGAGGCAAGGACTTCCGACGCCCGGTCCGCGCGAAAGAAACCCGAAACTCTGCATACGCACCTCTTCTTCGACACAGAAAAACATCGGACCCTGACCTAGCCGACCAAGCCGACCTGGCCTCCGGAGGCACAGGCAGCCTGTCAAAGAAAGGGCTTGAGGGTTTAGGTTGGGATGTTCCCCTTTTACTAACAGTCCTTAATGGGGATACTAGTCGGGGGCACGAGAATCCCTACTACGGACTGTTAGGGAAGAGGGGGAACATTTCAAGGTTTGGGTCTTGAGGTGAGGACTCACACTGGGGCCATGACGGGAGGGTTGTGGGGTCCGTGTTGTCATTAAAGGATCGTGTGATTCATTCGTGGCTTCTTAAGCGTCCCGTTCTCAATGTACATCCCGCAGTACCCAAAACACTTTTTACAGCAAGCCTCGGATCACAGCAGTACCCAAAATCCTAAAACCCTAAACCCTAATCCCCCAAAAAATTGAAGAAGGGCCTACCCTGGGTCCGACCCAGAGAGCCCTTTATACCGCTTAATTAAGGAACATACCTTAAAACATATTAAGGATCCTTCATGTGATTTTAAGGCACATTCCTTGCTTCGGGGGTACTCTAGTTCACGGTTGGGACCATATTGATAATTCAAATTTCGATTCCTTATTGAGTTTAAGTACCCTCAAACATGTAAAATGGTACCCCACTATGACAAAGTATTATTGAGCTCTCTGAGTAGCCAGGCAATACGGCCTCACCCTACACCCTACACCCTAAACCCTAAACTCTAAACCCTAAACCCCAAACAAAAAGGGAAGAAGACCTCTACGCGCATGGAGGGCCGGTGCAGCAGCGCCGGGTGCGCAGCTGCGACGGCCGCTCCCAGGTGGCCCTGACTGTTGAAGAGCTCACCTGGGGTTTAGGGGTTAGGGGTTTAGGGTTTGGGGTTTAGGGTTTGGGGTTTAGGGTTAGGAGTTTAGGGTTTAGCGTTTAGGGTTTAGGGGTTTGGGGTTAATCAGGTTGATTTGGGTTCACCCCCAACCCCTACCCAACACTGCAATTGTCCCATCATGGTCATCAAGTTCTCTTGGTCATGGGTGCGTCTTTGAGGTGTTGGAGGCAACCAAATTGGCCCATAATTACTTGGCTTCTAAAGGGGTCTAGAGAGCTAAGCCCTAAACCCTGAACCCTAAACCTTAAAAGCGGCGCGTAGGGGTTCGCATGGATAGAGATCGGGGCTTGGGGGTCCGTGAGGGATTGGCATGGTCCTTTAGTACAAAACGCCTCAAACAAGCGCCCCTTCAACCCTGAACCATTTCCCCGCCCTCCGCCCCCAGAGCCTTGAGTTTCGGTTTAAGTGCAGTACCCTTGAAAATGTAAAATGTTACCCCACTATCACAAAGAGAGGGGAAGCCTCGTTTCTTGCGAAACCAGCTTTGGAGTGCTCCGGAATCCGGAACTCAATCTTTCATTAAGGAATATACCTTAATCTTAGCTTTGGAGTAGATCCTGGAAAAAAAAGTATATACTTTTTAGGTATAAGTAGCTATAATAGGAACCCAGAACAAAAAACAAGTATTAAAGTACAGTACTCCAAGACCCAGTAATTCGTATTAAGGATCCCTATCTGTAATTTGAGGAATATTCCTTCATTGAGGGGGATTGGGTACTTCGGAACTCCAGCCGACCCTAAAACCTAAACCCTTCAAACCCTAAACCCTACATCTCCAGCGTGCAAGTCCGGAGCCCCCACCTGGCCTGCAAAATTTCCAACCTCAGCTGCGGGAGATGAAGATGAGGAGAGCGAGGCCCGTGAGTCTTCGGGTTGAGGGTTTTAGGGTCTTGGGGCTTTAGGGTTTAGGGTTTTAGGGTTTCAGGGTTTTGGGGTTTTAGGGTTTTAGGGTTTTGGGGTTTTGGGGTTTTGAGGTTTTAGGGTTTTGGGGTTTTGGGGTCTTGGGGGTTTTGGGGTTTTGGGGTTTTGGGGTTTTGGGGTTTAGCGATACGGGTTTTGGGGTTTTGGGGTCTTGGGGTCTTGGGGGTTTTGGGGTTTTGGGGTTTAACTTCCCCTAAGCCCTATGAAGCCTAAACTCCGTGACCCGAAGTTCCGCATAAAGCTAAAAAAACACTCTTGAAGCCTAGACCCCATGTGCAGACTTCCCCTAAAGGTCCGTCCATATGCCGAGAACTACGGGAGCTGGTTCTGTTTTTAGGGTTTGAGTCTCAGGGTTTAGCGCCCCTGTAAGGCACACTTTCATCATAAAACTACCCTAAACCCTAAACCCTAAACCCTAAACCCTAAACCCTCATCATAAAACTATACAGAGAACACAGGTGCACCCCTACCCTGGGGGCTTTACCATGAGCAGGAGACCAGGCTACAAGGGCATAGGGCTTTAGGGTTTAGGGTTTAGGGTTACAAGGCATAGGGTTTTGTGTTGCCAAAGAAAGCATGCTTGGTACACTTCTCGACCCGTGTGCGCCGTCTTTCAGCAGAGGCCATGCGCATCACACCCCCCAAACCTCTCGGTATGTGATCGGATGATACCCTCAACGTTTTTTTTTGCCACCCGCCTTGCTGAACCGAGACGTGCGTGCAATTTGGCCGTCTTTTCGGTTTTTGCCATTGGAGCTAACAGGGGCCACCCTCGTGGGAAACCGAGGGCCCGAGGCTCGGGCATACACTCGGTCGATCGCCTCAGGCTTTGCACCAGTTTGCCGGAAAGCACCCTGGATGGACTCAACAAAATACCTCGGTCAGGGCAAGGACCAGGATTCCGGACGTTCATGGGTTGCAAGGTTTTCGGTGTTGAGGGTGGAATCGGGGCTGAATACCCAAGCCCAAAAAAAGGTTAACCTTTCACACATAAAGTAGGATGCTATATAAACCCTAAACCCTAAACCCTAAAACCCTAAAACCCTAAAACCCTAAAACCCTAAAACCCTAAAACCCTAAAACCCTAAAACCCTAAAACCCTAAAACCCTAAAACCCTAAAACCAAGAAAGTTCAAGGTTCCCTACCCCGTCCCGAAGGTGGAGCGGGGCTTTGATCCCCCTAGTTCTTAGTAGGGAATGAGGGAATGAGTGCCCTACATACACCCTTTAAGTAACCCTAAACCCTAAACCCGAGAACGATGAACGATACCAATCCCTATAGTACCCTTGTAAGGAAGAATCTTTCATTCCTCTGGGTGGCTCTTAAGTTCTTAAGCCACTAGTAGTACCCTCCCTGGTAAGAATCCATTTCCAGGGTGTTTGTCAATGTCTTGCCCTGCGTCGGCGCTGGCTGAATCGAAGAACCCGAAACTCTGAAGAGCCCAAGGCCTCTCAAATCTGCACCCTTTGTCCCTTCGTCCCTAAACCCTAGACCCCAAAACACATCGCCACAAAACGACGTGGAAGCTTAAGTGCCCTCTGTAACTAGTACGCCACATGCATGGTTCAAAGTGGGTTGAAGCTACATCCTAGCAAGGGCTAAAATAATGGGAGTACCAACCCTAAACCCTAAACCCTAAACCCTAAACCCTAAACCCTAAAAATCGGCAGCTCAGTCAAGCCGAGGTGCTCTTTCAGACCTTTCACGCCCTTTTGAAAGTTCGGGTTTCCTGGAGTCCAATAAGGCCACGCAAGAAGCGATCGACATTGCGGTCTCTTTAGGTACCACAAGCCCAAAGAGCCCAATATTGCTTAGTTAAGGAATATGCCTTAAATCATATAGGGAACCCTTTATATGATTTAAGGAATATTCCCTAATTAAGCAATATTGGGCTCTTTGGGAGAACTCTCGGGCTCCTGGCCTTCTCCAAACACACACTCAAACTCCAGAAGACCACTTTACCAGGTTGACAAAAAAAAAACTTCATGATGGCTTCATGAGGTTGAAATGAGACACTAGACAAGGGAAGAACTGTACGGGGCAGAGTAAACCCTAAACCCTAAACCCTAAACCCTAAACCCTAAACCCTAAACCCTAAACCCTAAACCCTAAACCCTAAACAGCCTTGCACAGCCGGCCTTTACCCACAAAGGGCGTCACATGACCACCAGCCAAGTACCTTTGGTTTCGGGTTTCGGGTTTCGGGTGCAGGGTCCCCACTTGGCCCTACTCCTGAGCTCGGGCCCGGACCTCGCAGCCTTATCTGCGAATTGCTTAAAGAATCCCCCAATAAACGTAAGCGGTTCTTCCCTGTAAGGGCCATATAGGGATGGCTAACTTGGTAGCCCAGTGACCATATTATGACAAGGGCACCCTTTTTGGGGTTGGTCATTTTATAAAGGAACCCATAACAAAAAAAGGGCAAAGGGTACCACTTGGCTACCAAGCTAATGTTCTTTTTTTTTTTTTTTTGCTTGGGGGGGGGGGGGCTCTGAAGCAAAAAGTAGCTATCTCTCTCTTGCTCTCTCTCTTTCTTTCTGCGCACCTAACCCCCTTTATTCACTCTCTCTCTCTCTCTCTCTCTCGCTCTTGATCAAGGCTCTATCCATAGCAGGATGCGACTGAGCCTGGGTTCACATCGGGACTGCGCAGTCGGGGCATAAACCCTTCAAACCTTCAAACCCTTTAAACCCTTTCTGCCCCATAAGCCCCAGAAATCATTAAACCTACAAACCTTAGACCACCCTAAAGCCCAAAAACACATAACACACACGACCCTAAAGCCCTAAACCCTAAACAACCCTGCTTTCCCAAAACCCTAAAATCACAACCAAAAACCCTTTTGCATCAAAACCCTGAAGCCCTATGAAACCCTATTGGACCCCATAAACCACATAAACCCTATAAACCCTGTAAACCCTATAAACCCTATAAACCCTATAAACCCTGTAAACCCTACAAACCCTCTAAGCCCTCTAAGCCCTCTAAACCCTCTAAACCCTCTAAACCCTCGAAACCCTCCAAACCCTCCAAATCCTCTAAGCCCTCTAAACCCTCTAAACCCTTTAAACCCTCTGAACCCTCTGAACCCTCTAAACCCTCTAAACCCTCTGAACCCTCTAAACCCTCTAAACCCTCTAAACCCTCTAAACCCTAAACCCTTTTTGCAGCAAGCTTTGGAAGGTCGCAACCCTAAACCCTAAACCCTAAACCCTAAACCCTAAACCCTAAACCCTAAACCCTAAACCCTAAACCCTAAACCCTAAACCCTAAACCCTAACTATATCAAGCCCAGGCTGCACCTTTCGGAGCATTGCTGCCAGCCTGGGGCTTAGTCCCCTGGTTCTTAGAAGGGAACGAAGGTTTAGGGTTTAGGGTTTAGGGTTTAGGGTTTAGGGTTTAGGGTTTAGGGTTTAGGGTTTAGGGTTTAGGGTTTCAGGGTTTAGGGTTTAGGGTGAGCCATGATACCCTCTCCAATCCCCCTATCTTAGGGTTTAGGGTGAGCCATGATACCCTCTTGTATCCCCCTATGTAAACCCTTTACGGGATTGTATAGGGTACCTAATTCGCTCATGCCCTAGTAAGAACCAGTAAGCTATGTGAAAGGGAGGAGTTTAGGGTTGAGGGTTTAGGGGTGTTAGGGTTTTGGGGTCTCCGGTTTCTAGGGTTTTTAGGGTAGTTTGAGGGCTCTGGTTTTAGGGTTTGGGGCTTTAGGACTTAGGGGTTTACAAGGGAACCTGCTTAACCCCAAAAAACTAGGGAAGAGGAGACTCTCGGTCCTAGTTGCGCTGCACAGTCAAACTGGGCCTTGCGGGCGAACAAATGAAAGCTAGAGCCTGACCCAACTGGAGGTTGATATTATTGTTACCCTAAACTTAAACCCTAAACCCTAAACAAACCCTAAACCCTAAACCCTAAACCCTAAACCCTAAACCTTAAACCCTTTAGGGTTCTTAAGGGAGGGGGTTTTACGGGGGGTATGTAACCCAAGCTTCCCAAACTTCCGGTTTAGGGTTTTTGACGGACGAGCTAGAGCGGAATGCGCGCGATCAATTCCAAGCAATGCGCCGCTGCCTGTGGCAGCGAAAAGCGACTTAGGCCGTAAACTCACAACTGAAAACATGGTCGTGGACAGCGGGATCTTTCAAACCTTCACTGTCCATCGACAGGCGACAGTGTCGCCCAAAATGGCTGCGGTCCAGCCGTACGAATTGCGGGGCGCCAGCCATGCTGGTGTCGCGACGGAACTCCGTTCCGCGCCGCTGCCTGATCCCCATGCACGTAGACCTGTCTGCAGCGCACCTGTTGCCTGAGATGCTCGCGGAGACGGAACTGTTCCCAAAACTCCACCCCACACACTTCGCATCGTGTTCCGTGGGCCACAACAGATGCCTCTGACCTGGCCTTGTGGCGGTGCCAGCGGTGCAACGCCAAGAGCCGGGGCGTATCACAGACAATGCCACACTGAGCGCACATCCAACCCTCATCTGCGCACGGGGTTGCGGGGACCCGCGGACGCGGCACATACTGCACCTCGGAGGAGTGTGCCTGGACCATCAGTCGCCCTCGCTCAGCGCGCGCGGCGACCTGTGCACGCATGAATCGCCGCACCTGATTGCCGACGTGCTTGCGCTGGCAGCGCAGCGCTTGCAGGAGGCCACCCAGGTCGGTGTCGGCGAAGAAGCCTGCTTCGAAAGGCGTCCCCGGGCCTGTCTTGACTGTCTGTGCAAGCGCACAGCGCGCCTGTTCCAGCCAGACACTATCTGCCGACACCGCCTGCCAAACTGCTTCGGCGGTAATGACAGAAGCCTCCATAAGGCTGCGAGCCTGCTCCACAAGGAGCTGCTCTTGTGGCGTTGGAAGCTCGAGCATGGCGGCCGCCTGTTCGGCATTATATCCCCGCATGGAGATGCCTAAGATCGGCCGGAGGGCTCCTCTCAGGACCTGCGAAAGAGGCTCGAGGGCAGCCTGCTTCTCGTGTTCCGTCTCTAGCCGCCAGAGGCCTGCCCCGAAAAGGTACTTTGAGAAAACTCTTTCCGAGACCAACCGCTTCTTTTCGACCCTTGTCACGAAGGGGTTGTTGAGTACCTTTCGTCTCAGGGGCTGCCAAGCCTCCTGCATGAGAGCATTGCGGTGGCGGAGATTGGGGAACTCATGACAGTCGGCTTGCAGCACCGAACCCAAGTGCACATAGGATTCGACAACCCTGACCTGGAAGGTGTGGCCATAGGTGGTCCTAACCTGCACATGCGGGTTGTCTTGGCTGAGCAGAGCTCTGCGTGCAGCAAGGGAATGCTTGCCTCGCATCGCCAGTATCGCCTCCGTCTTGCCAGGGCCATAGTTGAAGCGCAGCCCGATGCCCTGCACCAGTTCTTCTGCTAGCCGTGCCACTTCAGCAAGCGCCCGTGGCGTGGCTTCCGGCTCGCTGGCGCTAAACAAGATCGCAACATCATCAGCCCACGTGGGGCTGCTGGGCAATCCTTGTTCACAACTTCTGACGTCCGCACGCTCGCTGCGGCACACGAAAGCCGCGAGTCCTGCCTCCGCAAGGGCTCTTTGCAAGCTCTGGAGGAAAGGGGAGAAGAGTATCCCGAAGAGCGTGTCGGCGATCGGCGATCCAGGGCTGGTCCCACTGTGCGTTTGCCAAAGGGCGGCCCCCTCCCTATCAGTGGTGAACCAGGACTGTTCAAAGAGCCCTTCGACATAGCGGCGCAGTTCCGCCGGGACATGCCGTTGCCCAAGGATAGGCCCGTTTCGCAGACGTTCGGCAAAGGCTTCTTTTTCTATCTGATCCGCAAAGAGCTGCTCCGCCCGTTCTTTAACCCAGCCCGGTTTTGGGAACTTATCGGCTGGAGCTGCAAGAACTTCACGAATGACGGAGTAGTAGGCTGCAGTACAGTCCAAGAACAAAATACCCCCGCACTGCCCCCGAGCTTTGAGTGCCGCAAGGTGCGATCGTGCCAAGAAAGCTGGCAGAGTCAACGGACACCCCGGCACACCCCCAAATTGATCGAAGGGTTTACTTCCACAGAAGACTCGGAGCAGCTTGGGCCGGAAGGCCCGCTGCACAGCCTTTGCTTCGGCTTCAAGGAGCATGATGGAGCGCCATGAGGCACAGCACGTTGGGTCTTTGCTCCCCTTTGGAATACTATGGGCAAGCCCACCCTTCCACTGCAGCGGGTGGCTACCCCGGGCCAGCGCCTTTGCCAGGATAGGCCAGGTGGCCATCGCAGCAGCCTGCGGAGCTAGCCGGTACACGTCCGCAGGTATTCCGGAAAGTCCGGGCGCCTTCCCGGCAGCCATCTGGCTATAGGCCGATGCGAGATCGACTATTGTGGGCACTTCCTGGCTGTCAACTGCATCAGTAGCGCAAGTTCGCCCGCTACCACCATGGAGCATGAACTCCTGCGGTTCTACGCGCTGCGCCCGTTCAGCCTGGGCATAGAAGTTGCCAAGGGCAAGCCTTACAGCCTGAGGACTGCGGCAGGTGCCCTGTTCAGTGACAAGAGCAGGCAAAAGTGGCGGGACCTTGAATTTGCGGCCCGTTCTCAATATGCTGCGGATCCGGTGCGCAAATGCGGCTGTTCCGGTGTCCCGTGCGGACTGCATCTCTGCCCTTAGGAACTCCGCCTTGTCAAATTGCGCATTCAAGTTGAGGCTCCATTCGTGGGCATGCTGCTTTCCTTGCCATTGAAGTAGGCTGCGTCTCAACGCTCTGAACGCATGTGGCAGAAATGGCCTCCGTGTGCCTTCCGGTTGCCCATGCCCTTGCGCGGTTCGGCACCGCATTGCATCAAAGATGGCCTTCAGTGTGGCCCTTCGCACGCGCCCCTTCAAAGTTCTCACGACACATCGGCAATGTCTAGCCTGCTGTACAAGGGTGAAAGTCATCTCTGAAAAGGCAGGGTGTCGTGGCCCCTTGCGGGCGACTGGCAAGTGTTGCTCGAGGAACGTGCGCAGATGCCTTTGCACAATTGCCACATGTGACGTGGGGTCAATGTGCCACGGTACCGCCGGTATTGTGCGGAACGCCGCCTGGACGGCCTGGCGGCCTTCCTCCGTGTCAAGCTGCTGCTGTCGAATGCGGTATCGCATCTTTTCCTGAGCAACATCAAGGTGCACAGTGCATGTTGTTAGGATGGGGTAGTGGTCTTTCCCAGCATGCAAGTCATTAAGAGTGGTAACCGTGCTAGTGCTCAGCCTGCCCTCCCACTCTGCTGGTACTGCCACATAGTCGATAAGTGACAATGCTCCGTTAGGGCTGCGCCAGGAAAATAATCGCGTGCCATCTGTGCCAAACTGTGCAGTAGTAGCAAGGCCGTGCCTGTCACAAAAGGCTGCAAGTGCGGTGGCGTTGCTGTTAGCTGGGACCGCGTCCCTCGCGAGGGGCGTCTCCCGGTCTGCCTCAAATCTGGCATTGGCATCAATGCAGATCAGGGGAATGAAGTGTGCAGGCAAGCTGTTCAGCCGCGCCGATAGGCCCTTCCAGAAACTTCCTCTCGTTTCCTCGGTAGCCGAGGCAATCGGCGCGTGCGCAGATACAAGGACGAAATGCAGGGTTCCCAACTGGGCAGTGCAAACGAGGATCTGTGGTTCTGCGGCGACTATAGAGAAGGATTCTCTATTCCATGAGGCGGTTCCTCCCTCTATTCTATCAGCGGTCAACCACAACTGGCATCCACCGACCCCTTTACTGTCACAAGGCGCCTGAAGGACCCAAAAACTCCCTATCCGTGCGATCCCTGAAGCAGGAGTCCGTGTCTCCTGAATGCCCGCAACAGTGACCTTATGTCGCTCCAACCCCCGTCGCAGGAGCTCTCGGGCAAGATCTCCTTTGCTGGACAGGCAATTGTATTGCAGGATTCGCATTGGGAGCTTGACTGCCACAGTTGTATTGGCTTCGCCTGTTCCAAATGTGGCAAATTCTGTCGGCTGCGTAGTGGCAGGTCTTTCCGTGGAGGCACGCAACCATTCGCCGGCTGAGTTGCAGAAAGGGAGCTGCTTCTGCAATGTCGGATCCTGCCCAAGCAACCACACTCTCTCCAACAGGCCCTCTCGTGCTGCAAAATACAGCGCATCAGAAGCTGGTGCCAGGGCGAATTCCGTCTGATGGCGAGCGATCGCCTTGGCAATGTTGTCGGCCGTCTCGTTGAAGAGGCAACCTGCGTTGTCCGTGCGCAGCCGACGCGAAAGCGAGTCCAGCAGCCCCTCGAACAACCGGGTCTTCAGCCGGCAGAGCACAAAAGGCGTGGGTTGCTGCCAAGGCTGAGGCACAGTCGCTGCCTATAAAGGCAGGTACGGGTCGGTTGGCCAGTGCAATGGCTCGTGCATGCAGGAGGGCTTCTGTTTCCCCGTCATAAGCTCCCCTACCCATTGACTGTCGAACAAACCCTGCCTGAACCCCGACTTTGACAATGTGCGTTTGCTGCAATGCAACGACGACAACTGCCCATGCTGCCGTTTCAGTGTTCGGGCAGTATGACCCATCAGTGAAGATGTATAAGGCGGAGACCGGGCTGTGCTCATCCCAAGCCGGCAGGGAGGACCACAGAGCAAGGACGGGCAATGTGATCCCTGTGACATCCCAGAAATGGGTGTGCAACCTCGAGAGCGAGTGTGCCTCGAGAGCATGTTCGAGCATATCTGAATTGACCCCATGAAGCCAACCGGGTTCCGGCTCCGGTAGCAGTGTAGCCAGATGTAAAATTTTCCGTGGCTCGGAGTCCACTGTTTTGGAAGGCCTGATGCCATGTGTGGCATCTATGCAGCGGCGGCCAAGCGGTGTGGGGATGGGGAGTGTTTGCCCGCTCGGCGAAATCCGGGGTGCCGGTGCAATCAGGTCGCAAGCAGCAGCTACAACCCCACCTTGGACTGGATTCCCTGGCTGCAGCAAAGAGCTGTGACCCTGTTGTTCTTTGCGCTGCTCGACTGTGCGGTCATCCGAGTCACTTGCACTTGGAACGGGGGGCACAGGTGGACGTTCTGCCACAAAAAGCCATTGCAGCTGATCAAGCTGTGCCCGAATTGGGTCGGTCTGTGGCCGGTATGCGTCACGCAGAATAAGCCTTGCATCAGCCAAGGCTTCCAAGAAGGCCTCTCCTGTCTGTTGACAGCTAGGCAGATCCGGTCTAGTGACTCTAAGGCTAAGGCCTATCTCCCGCCAACCAGTGAGCGGCTGGAGTTCAACCGTGCAGACCCCTAGTCCTAAGGATCGACAATCCACCGGCACTGCTTGCCAACCAGTGGGCGCCGCTACTGCCGTCAGGACGAATTGGGGCTCTGGATAGCCGTAGACTGGCACTGTGAGCCGCTGGATCACCCTAACAGTGCGTGGTGCGTGCCGCAAAATGTCCGCCAGCAGCCATTCGATTCTTTGGTCTCTCCGATAGGTACGGATCTGAATCTGGGCTGCCGTGTCGAACACTGTATAGCGTTCATCCTCCGGCCCCGCTGGGCCTGCCATGGTTCTCGCGGCCGCTAGGTATACCCTATCAACAACGAGATCAAGGTCATCGGGCTTGAGCTGTAATTCTTCAGGTCGCGAGGCCCCGAAGTGATCTGCTCTGCATCCAGACGACACTCCCATTGCCAGGGCGTTTTGTTTGGCCGTTAGGCGTTGCTCACAAACCGCTTGCGCGGGCGCCTGATGGCCGGCATATGTCACACCTGCACCTGCAGTACCAGGCTCGCTTGAAATGCTTGTGATCCTGGCATGGAGTTGAAGCATGCTGAGCCCCTCAGTGGTCCTGTGATGAAAGAAATGCACATGCCCATGCGAGGGAGTAGGCTGTCTGCTAACGCGGAGGTGTGGAGGAGCTGGCAAGTCCTCCGTTTGGCGTAGTACCTCCTCATTGACAGGCCAGAGGGTGAACAGCCGCAGCATGTAAGGCACCGGTATGATGTGCCATGTTTGTCTCGACTCATACACATCTCTCGCCAAGAAGATTGGCGCGTCCCCGGACAACATGCCGGTGTCTTGGATGCGGCTGGCATCCTGCCATTCAGGTAGCAATGCTAGCGCCTCTGCAACTTGTCCGCTTGTAGCAGGGATTCTACATGGCACATAAATCAGCAACTCCCCCCGTATGCGGCTCATGACAAGTGCAGGCTGCGCAAAAGGAAGATGATGTCCCAAAAGCGTTTGGCGCGCATCGCATGCATCGCGCAAAAAGCCCATGATATGCTCAAGCGCCGCCTCCTGTTCGACCGGCAGTGGAAACATTTCAACCGTGGGGACATCCAAGGCAAAGACAGAAAGTCCGGGCCATCTCCGGAAGAGAGCCGCCCTTGGATATGCAGGGATGATCGGTCGATCATCTGCAAAGTGCACATAGTCACCGTCCTGCAAATAATCCGCAAAGAGGTGTGAGGGTACACCGTTTATGTATGCCACAGTCCCTGCTGTCCTTAGGCGGTCGGGCAGCAGGGCTGCTACATCGACATCCGTATCCACGGACGCATGCCCCAAGCCCCCCCCAACAGGCCGCGCATCAACAATGACGTGAACATGTAAATCCATGGGAAACCATACAAAAATGATTTCCCGGAAGTCATGGTTGCGTCCTGGATGTGCTTGGGCTAGCCTAATCTGTCCTTGCCACGGTGCCCGCTGTTGTGTGATGTGCGCTGCGACAAGGTCTCCAAGCGCATCAATCACACTGTCCACGTCTGTGCCCACAAGCTGTTGACCTGCGATTGCACTCCCCGTGACAAGAAAGACAACAGGTTGGCCTGGGGCAAGCATGTTGGTCGTTGTGCTGGTGGTTGGCCTCAAGGTAGTAGCTGTTGTAGTGCCACCAGGCACTTCCTGCTCGGCACTATCAAAGTAGAACAGACCAGGTCTGGGTCTCTCATGTCCTGCTGCGCCCGCATGTTCGTGGCTAAGCCGGTGCAGACTTTCACGTTGTCTGGCCTCTTGGGCCCCATCAGCTGCCTGCCATCTGCGCCATCGAACCCTCGGCCCCCCAAAGTTAACAAAGGGGTGTAACTCTGTTGAAGGGAAGATTGGTCCGTACCACGCCCGGCCCGGGACTGGTCTGGCCGACGGGTCATCGATTGGTGCCAGGCATGCCGTAACAGACGGAAGCTCAGAGTGTGGGAGTTGAAAGGCAACAACGGATTCCTCCGAAAGATGCACACGCACATACTCCCTCAAGGGATCAAGCGCAAGGGGAACTATCACAAGCAACCGCCGTGCAGCAACAGTGCCCTCTGTATCGAAGAGACTAAACCGACTCCCCTGTCCAAAGCGTCCCAGGGTGGACAGAACAAACCGGCTGGTCCAATCCGCTACGGCTTGCAGGTCCCATTGCTCGCGCCGAATAGCACCGACAGCACTGACGCCAGGACCCACAACAACGAAGTGGAAGGAGCCATCGGGACGACTGAGGCCGAGCTGCTCAAGTCTAGTGTTGACTGCGTCATGCCAGGCATGCTGAGCGATCTGTGCGTCAAGCTCCAGGCTCGTGGTAGTCTCAAAGAATGCTGCTGTGGGGACTGGCAGGGGTAGCAACAAAGCGCCAAGGCCCGCCAACCTCTGAACGAAGTAGTCATTAGGCCTGATGTCTGGCGCTTGTGGCACCAACGAAACCCCCAGGTAGTCCCCATGCTCAAGCCTGGTGCCCTGTTCCCATTTGCGACCATTAACATAGAGCCCCTTTGCCCCGGGGTAAGCAGAGAGCAGTGTATCAGGACTCTGGTCCACTGGGAGGTTCACAAAGGAAAGCATTCCTTGGGGTCGGAAATCAACCCAAACGGAGATCGACTGAGGCGGTCTAGCGAGCCCCGGTGCCTCCGCTGCAAAGAGCAAGATTTCTCGATGCGAGACCCGGTTTGGTGGTTGGCAGGGTGTCATCCTCACTGCACTCAAGCCTTGCGTTGCTTCCTGGCCCAAGGCGATAGCCCAGACACGTGCTAAGATCACCTCAGCTGGTGGATTCCCTTCGAACTCAGCCGTAAAAACCCCACGCCCTACCACCCCAAGCCTAACAAGCAAGTGCGTTCGTGGTGGCAACTGCTCAACAACGTGTGGCAACTCCTCCAGCACCTCGGTGGTAGTAGAAGTTGTCGTAGGTACTGGGCAATGAGACATGATAGGGCTGTCCTGCGTGACAAAGCCGCCAACCCTGGGCTGTGCCGCTGCTGTGGTTCGAAGCATGGATTGCAGCAGGCCGGGGAAATTCACAGCCGTGGCAACTGTGTCAGTAACAAGGCAAACCTCTTCAGCCTCTGGCACAAGCAAAGCTCCATTCCTGGCAGTGGTTATGCAAAATTCAGTGGGTGGTTGCGCGAGCCCCCATTCACTTAATTTTTGCCGCGCTTTCTCGCACATCGCGTCCGCTGATTGCGGAGTGTTCAGAAGTGTGTGCAGAACGGCGATGTTGCGGATGTCAGGGCCAAAGATCCTGCGAAAATCTGCTAGGAAACCTTGCGGTCCTGCGGCACCCCGCGCCTCACTCGGAGACACGATGCAATGCGAATCCACATCTCTGACAACCGGCTGGCGCCAGAGACAGTGTGTGCGCCACCCTTTTATGCCTGTCCGGTCCGCCATGCGCCGTGCCACAAGCGCCGCAAGCTCTTCTGGCGTGAGAAGCTTCGAAACAGTGACAATCCAGGGGTGTTGTCCTGCAGAGTGGAAGGCGACAGTCATTTCTTGTTCGTTCTCATCCCTGTCCCTTGTCACACACTCAAAAGCGCAATCAAGCGTTGCAGCCTCACTTGAAGTACCTGAAGAGCTGTAGGTATTCAGGGATGTTTGTGGTGTCTGCTGTTCCGAAGGCGCGGAAAGCTCACCGAAGGGGGCACGTACACATAGGATTGCTGGCTCAAGCATGAGGATTCCGGGGCGGAAAGGGTCAGTCACGTCAACCCCCGGCGGCGCAAAATTCCACCTGAGCCTTGCGACATCGTGTGACAGTGCATGTGGTGTCCTACAAAACTGTGCGGCACGCAAAGCGGCCTCAAAGGCCGACACATCATCTTGCATGCCGAGGGTGCACAGGTCGAAACCCGCAGGTCTCAGGTCAACCGGGACAGTGCGCCAGCCAAGCGGCAGGTTTGCACTGTGTAACACAAGCTGCACAACGGGCAAGTCAGGCAGTGGTCTTTGAAGAATAGAAACCTCAGTAACAGGTTGGACGAGGGTATGCCTGATCGCATCCTGGACAACCTCCCTGATGCCCCAAGCCTCCTCAATTCTTCGCCATCTGACGTTGTCATGTGTGTCGAAAAAGGCGTATTGGTCTTGGTCGGGATGCGACCGCAAAAAGGCCTCAATGGCCGTCTCTGGAACTGGCAGCCATACTTTGATAGAGGCCGTCGTATCAGGGCATGAGGGCGTGTCCGCCCGTTGTGCTGAGCCCTGAGCGCTGATGAAGAGCAGCTGCCCCTGTGCCGCTCGGGAGGGCCACTCGCTGGAAGCACCAGCGTGGCCGATTCGGGTGGTCGTTAGCACAAGGTCTGGACGTTCTTTGGCGAGTGCATGGGTCCATGGAGGCGAGCCATGTCCCCGCCGATTCCGAGGTTCGGGACTCGGCCACGCAATTCCGGTATGAAGCTGGCAATGCCCGCATTCAGCTGTTGGTTCAATGCCCCTGGAAACCAACCTGGCACAAGGAACCTTGATGTGCCCCTCCTTATTGTACTGTACACTGTACAGCTGTCCTACTTGTGCTTTGTGCCGCTCGGCGACATGTCTATACATCGCTTGACGCGCTTTATACACTGTACAAACCTCCGCTTGGTCGTCGAAGAAGTGCACCCTCCTCCCTCGAATATTGGGCATGGTCCCCAATTGCAGGCAAGCACAGTCTCTACGTGCAGGGGCTACAACAGCGGCAAGACTGTCCATGTGCACGCCGGAGTCTCCCTCCACGGAGTCATGTTCTTGGCTGCAATTGGTTTCCTCCTCCTCAACTGGCAGGCGAAGGTCAGCGTTCTCGAAGGGATTGTGTGCAACGTAAGGCGGAACTCGCACCTCAAATTGCATGCATAGGCCATAGACCTGCGCCATCCACTTGCTGACGAAATCTGGTTCACTCTGTACCGAATGTGGCAGACAGTCCAGATTGACTCGCTCGACGCCTACTCCAAGATGGCAAGGCGGAGCTTCCTGCCCAACAAGGTCCCGCAGGCACGAGGTTGGGCTTAGGCAGGGGGCGAAGAGGATTGCGAGCCAGCTTCTTGCTCTTTGGCCTCTTTGGCCTCTTTGGCCTTTCGACGTGGAGTTCGCTCTCTGGCGTTGGCATCGAGCTCCTCCTTGGCGCCGTCCTTGACCTTCCGGAGAACCGAGATAAGCGCCTCTTCCTTCCGGACGGCACTTTCCTTGGCCTCTGCTTTGCGTGCATCCGCCTCGGCTAAGGCAGAGACCTCCATCTCCGCATCCTCCGCATCCAAGTCCACCACTTCCCCTTTGGTCTCCTCGTCCCCGGATGCTTTGGATTCCGCTGCGAGCGACCTTGTTGCTTGAATCATCTGCTGCTGCCACTTGTCTTCTGCAGTGGCAAAAGCTGTCATCGTCTCTGTCTTGGTGGCCAGCTGCTTCTCGAGAAGGTCGCCCAAACTTTCCACATAGCTGTACCATTCTCCAAGAAAAACGTCGCGTGACCTCCTGACCTTGCTCAGCTCCTGTTTGGCCTGGGACTGCAAAGCAACCAGACGATGCAGGGACTTCGCCGCCGCCTTGTGAGAGGTGTTGAGGTGCACGTCCACGAGTAATCTCACCGTCTCCGGCAACTCTTCTCGGTTGCTGGAGAGGGCCGCCAGAAGCTCCGTGAAGGCCGGCGAGGTTTCGTTGCCCCCGGCTTGATTCGTCCCCGAAGGTAGCGCCGGCGGTGCCGCTGTTGGTGGGTTCGGCAAGTCTTTCAAAGCTGGAGCTCCCGTTGTTCGCTCCGGCTTTCCTGGGCCAGCCCCCTTGTGCTGGCCTTTGCCGCCCTTGCCTTTGTGCGCCCCTTTCTCTGGCGCCTCTGGCTCGCTGCGACGCCGTGGTGATTGCCTCCTCCTTGGCGACACTGTATTCCTTGCTTGGGTCTTCCACGGTGCCTCTGAAGTCTCCGTGTAGTATTCTTGCCAGGCCTTTCCACAGCCCGCGCAGTACCAAGCATTTCCCCTGTTCTTTCGGCGGCAACTTCGACAATCCCACGCCATCTTCGAGGTAGGGAGTCTTGACCACGAGTGGTGCCGCGCCAGCAGAATCCGAGCTGCCGTCAGTTTGGCTGGTGGAAAAACTGCCCAGCCTGAGCTTGCCGCACGCAGCAATGTCCGAGCTCTGGTTCTGGCCCTGCGATGCCTCCGGTGCCACGCTGGTTCCGAGGCACGTTTCGTAATTGCAGCCGAAAATAACCGCGGTGATGAAGAGCGCGATCCAGTATCCACCACCTCTCATGCACTGTAATGAAAACGTGGGACGGCGGCAGTCCGCAGCGTACCAGTTTGCAAATCCAGTGGAATTCCAGTAGTAAAAAGGGAAAAAATTGCCAGCGAGTCCCAGAATAGAGTGCTCGGGCACTTCAGGGTCTTCCTCGCGTTGCGTACAGAAGACCCTGGTCAAAAGAAGCCAGCAGTTGGTTAAGACCAAAAGGGCAGTCGCGGGCACCTCCTTGTCGAAGAAGATGGCCAGTGTTGGTGCGGGCAGTTTGCCGCGCGTGGGTTTGCTGCAGAGCGGGAGTGGACCACTAGGGAAACTACACAACCCGACTCGAACAGAAACGCCTCGGTTTAGGGTTTAGGGTTTAGGGTTTAGGAAGACCCCACCTAGATTTTGTTCACAGGCCAAAAGAAAAAAACAACCGCCGCCGGTCCCCACCAAGGAATTGCTGGCGGTCTGACGTTCGCTCCAATCTCCATGTTCCCGTACACCAAAAAGGACAGAACGGCTCACCCTAAACCCTAAACCCTAAACCCCTAGTGCATCCAAAGGGTGATGAGGCCGAATCGATCTGCCATACGCCGCAGTCCCAGCTGACGGAGAAATAGGGGTTTTGGGGGGGGAGGGGGGGGGGGGGTTCCCAAACTTGAGGGTCATAAGGGTTAAGGGTTTAGGGTAAGTTTAGGGTTCCCAGGGTACCGCTATTTTGGAAAAGACCCGTCTATTCATTTGCTTCTTGCACCGCAGTGTGGGGATGTTCTTGGCTTCAACACTCATATGGAAAGTGTTCTACACTAGGGTCCGTGCGGAGGTCCGTCTTTGAATAAGCGGGTGCCATACTACATATAGGAACCAAAAGAAACCCTGATTTAGAGAGCTATCCACATAGTTCTGCAACTGCAGTCGAGCAGCTTGCTTGCGAGATGGGGTTGAAATCCGCTGCAGCAATGCGGCTGGTGTCTTGAGAGACAAAGTGGAGTGTGCCGTGTTGCATGTCAATAGGACAGCTGAGCAAGAACAGCCCTAAAGCCCTAAGCCCTAAGCCCTAAACCCTAACCCCCTACATTGCCCTAAACCCTGCACCCTGGCGCAGCATGGTGTGAGGCAGTAGTTGGCTTGGCTTCAAGGGGCATAAATACAGGTTGACCTCAGGGGCATTGGCCTTAGGGCTTTTTAGGGCACAATGCCAGCTTCATATGAAAGTCCGCTTGCTGAAGAAAGACTGGCACTACTGGCAACTACTCCTCTCAACTGCGCTTGCATTCGCTCCGGACCCGCTTTCTTTGTCACGACTTGCCCACGTTGTTTTTGCACAAATTCGGGTACGATGCAAGCAAGGAGTGCCAGAAACGCTTGGAAACTGCTCGTGCAAGAACCCAAAGCCTAAGTACTGGGAATAGTTACAGTAAGCTCATAAGGGAGCCTAGAACCACAAGAAGGTAAAGGGTACCACTAGGCTACAAAGTTATCCTCATACCCCCAAAGGCATAGAAAAGGGAATCCCAGCTGAAATCATCCTTAAACCCTGTTCCAACTTTCTGGAGTTCACTGTAAAACCAACTTGAGATCAGGGCGGACGAAAGCTACCCAGACCTTCCAAAATCCCTCAATTAAGGAATACACCTTAAATCTTCTTTGCGGAGCAGGGTGAGAAGTACCTTAAGTAAGGTTCTAACCATAGCTACCTTACTCCTAACTAAATAATACACCTTAAAGCATATCAGGGAGCAGGGTGAGAAGTACCCTAAGTAAGGTTCTAACCATAGCTACCCTACTAACAACCCTGCTTGTAAGTACCCATGGACCTCCGAGTAGGGCTCCAGGGAGAGGGCGTCGTCATGAAGGCAGATACAGGGTTTAGGGTTTAGGGTTTAGGGATGTTTAGGGTTCAGGGTAGCATGCCTCACAAGAAGGCTGGCCTTAGGCAAGGCTTCCGGCCCGGAGTTACCCAGAGTCGCCAAAAGCCCTGTATGAAGGAATATAACTTAAATCATATGAGGTTCCTATTACAGCTTAAGGCATCTTCCTTAGTTCAGGGGCTTTGGAGTCTCTGGGTACGTGCTTATGTAAGCATTTAACATGTTTTGCGTGTGAGAATGTCGTTTCCAAGCGCCCTTTTCAAAAGGAGCATGGCTCCGGCAAAGACATGCACTCCACAGACGATTTAAAAGGGTGAAACAGGTTGGGCTCAAGCGGTGCTCTAGGTTGGTGAATGCGCAACTTACCCAGTGTACCTTGAATCATACTAGGGATACTACTATATGGTAAACAGAACAAGCCACTGCATTGGTTTGTTGCGACGAGGCGCATCTCTTGCCAGTAGCTTTTGCTCTGAAGGCGGCCACTTTTACGTCTTGATGAAGATGGGACAAAGATGAAGAGGGCAGCTGAAGTATGTGAAGCTGCTAGAGTGACGGAACTTACAAGACAGTCCGGATGACTTTACCCACGGTCGAACTAAAAACTCTTTCAGTATCGTGAAGTGAAGACGGCAAATTTTCTTGGTGACTCGCGGCGAGCCGAACCTGTGGGGTGGCGCGATCTGCTTCGATGCTGCCTAAGTATGCACAGTACCTTGGTCCCGCAGCAACCAGGGAATCTTATGCTTGGTAAGGCTTACAGGCACTTGAGGCTCACGGGTTTATAGGGCGAATCGTACTGATTCTGAATTGGTATTTAGGAAAGGAAAGAGTCCCTGTACAATCCCTCAAAGGAGGCATGTGCTACCTAATTCCCTGACTTCCTATCAAATATACTTACTTGCTCTTCGGAGGGAATAAAGGAACTAGGCAGTAGGCATCCTATGCATAGATATATCTAAGAGGAAATTAGACTGTAGACATCCACTGGGGGATACCCTACAGTCATATACCCCAAAGTACCTATAATCCGAATTCCAGGACCCCGACCGTTCCCCCCCCCCCCCCCCCGGCGCCAATTATCGATCATCAAACGTTCGATGACCTAGAAGGAAAGAACGTACTGGTGGATGCCTGGCTTTATAACAGGATACTGACATGAAAAAGATAAACTATCACCTTATTAACATAATGAAACAATAAACTTCCTGGAAATCATAAACCCACGATTGCCTTTACTAGGGACAACTAGGTGCACAGTTGCACAATGCACTGGCTTTGATCTGCTGTCAGCTCCAAGGGATAGACACATTTCAAGCCAGGATGATCCCAATCAAAGCCAGCCAAGGTGCTTGAAGGAACGCAGCTGGCTTGGCCAAGCTCTACTCAAAGGGCTGTCGACTTGACGGCATTGTCTGAGTTGGAAGTACTTAAAACATGTGGCTTCGCTTGCGGACACTGAGCTCGCAGGACTCATATGTTTCGCCCTTTCGATCATTCCAACTCGCAGAGTTGCAAGGACGGGGACTGATGGACTTCGTGATCTACAAACGTGCGTGCGCCCGCTAGTTCGTCGTATATTTCTGACCTCCTTGGTCCTGAAATCCTCTGCCCTCTGCCTAGGCAGGACGTGCGTGAATTGAACATGCCTCGCTCTGACAGCCGTGTCACGCCGAGCACACGAACATTGCCCGCAGTGCCCGCAATCGGCTGCACCCATGTAGCGTTTAAACCCACAACAGGGCTGTTAGTTGTAGCTGTCCGAAGAAAACCTGATGAATTGGTGCATGCAACCCTCTGGAAATGCTCACATACCTGTTATGAAAACTTCCGCTGCTTTTTGCACACCCACAGCGTAGCGGGCAAGGTCTCCAGTGCTCGTAAGAGTGCAACAACTAGCTGCGCTGAAGGCCAAGCTACCGAAATGGCTGTCTAGCAGAGGTGAAGGCCTAAACCCTAAACCCTGATCCCTCAACCAAGTTTAGGGTTTAGGGTTTAGGGTTTAGGGGTTTAGGGTTGAGGGTATAGGGATAAGGGTACACTCCCGAATTGTTGAGCTTGCCGGTCCTAACCCCAACCTCTTTGCCAGGCAGCCTTCAAAGATGATAACGCGGCATCGGAAAGATTGGGCTGCAAGCAATCCTAACAGAGAGAGAAAGAGATATGTGTATACATATATATATATATATGAATGAATGAATGAATGCATGCATGCATGCGTGCATGAATGAATGAATGAATGAATGAATGCATGAATGAATGAATATACAAATGTATGAATGTATGAACTGTATAAACGTATGCATGTATGCATGTATGTATGTATACATGTATATGCAGGCATCATTGCCTGGGCTGTTGCTCTCTTTTTTCTTGAGAACTTCATACCTCTAGAGATACAGACAGAGCAGGAGAAACAGCCCCAGATGCAGGTTTAGATAGATACGACAGACATGTGCAAAAAAAACGTGTCCATCTGCGGAAGGCGCAGCTTGTGTGGGCAGACAGACTCTGTGCTGTGTTGCGATGGCCATTTGTTTCGTGGGACTTGCTAAAGAGTTTGGTTGCCACAAATGATGTCTTCTGCCCGGCTGTTCAGAGATACATTCGTTCTAGAACTCATACGGCTGTCCGTATCTTTCCGGCATCCGGGAGACCAAAGGTCTCCGGACAAAAAAGGGCCACGAATTCGCCAGTCCAGCAGGCATCTTTCGCAAAGCCAGGGATACTGAGGGCCCATGCATAGAAAGCTCGTCAGCAAGTCCTGA